GGTGAGCGGTCACACCACCCCAGCCCCCACACGTGGTGAGCGGTCGCGCTGCCCCAGCCCCGACACGTGGTGAGCGGTCACACCACCCCAGCCCCGACACGTGGTGAGCGGTCACGCCACCCCAGCCCCCACACGTGGTGAGCGGTCACGCCGCCCCAGCCCCCACACGTGGTGAGCGGTCGCGCCGCCCCAGCCCCCACACGTGGTGAGCGGTCACACCATGTGTTAGTCTGATGTGGGAGCTGATAATCCAACAGCAGCAGACCCACTCCCAGACCAGCGATGCTTCTGACCCATGTGGCTAGAGCGGCAGCGTCACCACAAACACAGCCATCACAAAGCGTGTTTGCCGAGCAGGTTCTGCCTCCATCGGGGCTGCCCAAGCCGTCCCGGGTGTGCCTGGGTGGGCAGTTCGGCCAGAAGGAGCAGGCACCGTCAGACCCACCTCCATCACTGCATTCCCAAACGAGCTCCGTGGCCAGTAACACCTCGTTTCCAAATTGGGAGTAACAGCAGAGGTTCTCATCACTGCTGCAGGTTCCGCATGCTAACACCCCACACAGGGTCACCACAGCCTTCAATGCCTTCCTCAGGGGCATCCAGGCCGCAAACCCAGCAGGCGCTTCTCGTGCGTCTCAGGTCCTCGGCCGCACCGGGCACCCGTGGCCTCAAATACCATTCTCTCTCAGGTTCACGTACCGCACGCTCCCGGCCATTGCCTCCTCCGTCTGCCCGCGGTCTCCTGGGTGCACAGGGAGCCCTCGCACTCCGCCCTACACTCCTCGTGTGGGTGTGTGTCCCTCCCAGCCCACCCACCAACAGCACGCTCCCGCACGGTGGCGGCCACCCCTTGGTGGCAGCCTCCCGGGTCCCCGGGCCGCAGTCTCCACCTGCACGTCCCGTGGGAAGCCAGCCTCTCCTGCTGGGACGAGGGTTCACCGCCTGGTCCCATACTCCACAGGAGTCTCCTCCAGCCTCTCTGCCATGTCCCTCCCCAGCACCCACCGTGAGTGAACCTGTGGATTACAGAGCCACCGTGCACCTACGTGCAAGCTCTCCTCTCCACACTCACGGCCACCACGCCAGCCCAGGTGATGCCCAGCCAGACCCCTGCTCCCTCCATGCCCACAGCCCCCTGCAGTCTCCTCTCCGCCCGGCTGCTGGGCGAGCTTTCACAGACCAGAACCTGCCTATGCCTCCTCTGCCCACCACCTCTGCCTCCGACCTGCAACCCCCAGCACACACTTGCTCCCCCCTCCATGGCCTCCTGCCCACAGAGGGCACCTGGCTGTTCCATCCCCCGAGGCCAAGTCTTCCCTCAGGAGGGCACTCACGGGCTTTGCCTTCCCCTCTCTTGGCTTCCCCTCAGCAGCCACGGAAACACTGCCCCCTCCAGGCAGCCCTCCTGACTGCTCCAAGCAGAGCCTCAGATGCAGCCCCAGCACGGGCAGTCCCCATGCAGCCTGTAGTGTCCTTTGTGGTGTCGCCCACTGTCACTGTGCATTGGCTTCCATTCTGCCATCTGCCCTCTGCACTGAAACGGTGGCTCTGTGAGGGCGGGAGCATGTGTGCTTGGCTCTGAACCCCAAGGTTCAGACCCTGAGCTCCAGTCCAGAACCCAGAGTCCCAGTCCAGGACTCCAAGTCCCAGCCCAGGATCCCACTGAATCCCGTGACCGCTTGCTAAATGAAGGAAATGGACTCACTGGAAGGAACAATGGCAAAGTGGTCCAGGATCACGAGCCCCAGTCCAGGACACTGGGTTCTGGCCTAGGATCCCAGCTCCCAGTTCAGAACCTCAGTTCAGGACCCCGAGTCCCGGTCCAGGACCCCAGTTCAGAACCTCAGTTCAGGACCCAGAGTCCCGGTCCAGGACCCTAAGTCCTGGTCCAGGAACCCAAGCTTCAGTCCAGAACCCTGAGTCCCAGTCCAGGACCCCAAGTTCTGGCCCAGGACACCACCTCCCAGTTCAGAACCTCAGTTCAGGACCCCAAGTCCTGGTCCAGGACCCCAGGCTCCAGTCCAGGACCCTGAGCTCCAGTCCAGAACCCAGAGTCCCAGTCCAGGACCCCGAGCGCCGGCCCAGGATCCCAGTTCTCAGTTCAGGACCTCGAGCACCGGTCCAGGACCCCGAGCCCAGAGTTTCAAAGTGCAACCTAACGCATTGCTGTCATGCTGTTTCCAAAGACGTTAAACATAGTTGCAAAAAATAACACATTTCTGACCAATAAGGGTAACAACCTGTCACAAAGGTAAGCCCCAAAGCTCCTTATTTTAAACTAATTTAATAAACTGAGTAATACATTAAAGCTAAATCAAAGCAAAGTTCCTGTTATATACATTAGATTACGAACAATAACAGATTGGACAGAGCCTTGGCTTAAATCGATGTACAGCCTCATTGATCTCTCCCTGGGTAATGAACTCAAGGATGGCAAATCCAATTGGATGAGGCGGCGTCACTGCCCACTTCACCCAGAGTCAGAGAGGGGCATGTGGCCACGGCCACCCTCAGCACATCCCCGTCAGGGGTCCTGCCTGCTCCGGAGAATCCCTGTATCTGTCTGACGAGAAGAGCTGCCGTATTTGCAAGTCCTGACGTCCCCAGCTCACTCCTGGGCAAACATGGAAGCCGGCGTAGAGGGTCTGACCCGTCATCACCAAGCCCCCCTCGAGCCGGGCTGCCTGCACGAGAAATGCACGTGTAATTTCATTTGTCCTCGTCCAGAAGCCAATGTTATACGTTAATTAGATTGGTTGTCCACTGTATTCATCCACTTACAAAGTTAATGACATTCTGTCCCCGGATCACAGAGCATCTTACAA